AGACTCAGGGGCAGCAGCATCCAACTAGGCTTGTGATAAGCTATCAGAAGTATCAGATGTCAAAGGGAGGGTCCCATGTAAACATCTTGCATTAACTTGAATGGACTGAAGATTATGTGAGAAGCCTGGGGTGAATGTAGCAGGATATTAACATAAATATCTCTGTCAGTTTCAGCTGAGTCCTCAGTATTGCCAGTATCCCCACATCCCAAAGCTATGTGCTAGCAGATCTGTGTGGGACCTGCAAAGGAAGGAGCTAGAAACCAGTTCTGTAGGGTTGAGTTCTTCAGCTAGTTCGATAGATATTTGAAGAAGACAAGAGGAAAGGGCTTTTGAAAGAGGGCACTTCGATTATAAGGACAATGACCCTTAGCACCAGAGGGAGCAGGGTAAAGATGGAGGAGGCTGATTGGAAACAACCATAAGTTTCACTGACTGTGGGGCAAAAGTATGTGCTCCCCATAAATTAAATGTGGCCCACACAGGAGGGAGCTAGCCAAAGCCAGCTTGAGGGGGACTTGCCCAGGAATCCAACAGGGACCCCAATTGTGACGTACAGACCAGATCTCTGGAAGTCCAGGTGCCAGGATCTGGAGTTAATGTAACTAGCTGGAGGAGACAGCATGGCCATTAGTTGGACTTGTAATTGGAGATTTCCAGGGGAGACTCTCTGAGTCATTAATGATGCCCCATGAAGCAAAGAGCCACTAAGTGGGTCTCCAACCCCTAAAGGCCAGATTACACCTGACTTGTTGTTGATGTTTCTTCCTTTTCTCCTCTAACCCACAAGGAGTCAGAACCAAAGCAAGTGACTGGAAGAGGAGGTGGAGAAGGGCAGGGTCCACACTGCAGCTCCTTCGGGGGGAGCAGTTACACGTCAGGGGAAGAAGAGCCTTTTTCCTTCAATGAAATTCAGTTTGATTATTGGGTTGGATGTTTTGATTACATAAATGTGACTCACAGTGATGAGAGAGGGTTTGTGCTGAGGGCAGAACCTATCTAGGATTTCCTCCATGAGGCCCTGATGGAGCCAGTTTGAAGGGCCAGTAGGAGAATAGAATAAATGCCTTCCTCCTCGGCCCTGTGAAGTCTGTCTCATTTAATCACATGTTTATGTCTATGAAGGAGATCACTCTGGAGAAGAACCCCAAGATCTTGCCAATCTGGAATAGTGGCCTTGTGTGTTTCAAGGAGTGGTTGAGGAGTCCAGGGGAGGCATTTGGCTCGTGCAGATGACTGAGTGAATTTGATGTCAGCCCATTCCTACCACAGAGGGTTATTTATTTATGTATAAATCTCAGAGAGTCAGAGATTCAGAGGTGGAATATGGCCTGCAACATCTGAAGGGGGAGAAGTGTCCCAAGAGCCCTGAGCCTTATTTACTCAAAGTCAATCAAAGCCAAACCTTGACCAGCTAAACACCCGTGTTGTGGGGTCTCCACATCCTTGTGGCTGAAGCAAGAACAGGCACAGATCACCACTGTGAATGGGAGGGAGACTTCCAGGGCAAGTTTTTGGTATGTCTGTGGCACAACTTCTGACCCTTCTTAGAGATCGCAGCTTTAACTATTGAGAATGGACTTAATTTTTGACAGAGTCTCAATCTGGTGACTAGGGTGAATGACCCAACTTGAAAGTACATTTATGGTTGAAAATAAAAAGAAGCTATAAATCAGAGACTCGTTTTCCAATGTGGCTTTTAACTCCGAAGATGATTCCACTAGAGGAGTTCCAGAGATGCTGAGTAATGAGCCCCTAAGGTCAAAGGAGGCACATTTGAGACACAGCAAACATTTGTTCATAGTCCATGAACAACCAAAAGTTTCCTGGAATAGTAATTTGTTGACTATAGTTGCAAAATTACATAATTTCTGGAAGTTATAGCAGACATAGAAGCCCTTAATAAATTCACCAAGCAAGCCTTGAATGACAGTCCACAAAGCCGGTCCTTACTGAACACTGAGATGTCTCTATGGAGCTAAGCTGTCCTCCAAAACAGAATGGCCTTGGACATTATCACTGTATTGCAAGGAGGCACTGTACCATTATCCAAACAAATTGTAGTATGTTCCTACCCGATGAGACTGTTAATGTGTCATTTTTACTAAGTCACATGAGGACACAAGGGAACACTCTGAGTGATCCAACCCCCTGCCTGGGAACTTAGTAGATCAGTGGTTTGGATTATGAGACTCTTAGTAGAAAAAGTTGTCATTGATTTTTGGTAATCATTGCCTTAACCTTTGTTTTCTTTTGCATATGCCTGTATTGTTGCTGTGGCATCTGCCTCCATTGCAGTCATATAGCCACCAAATAAGCCACCTCCATGCTAGTGAAAGCCCTTGCCGAGTGCCAGGGTGCACTGTGGAAGAGGAGAACGTGTCCGACCAGTGAGCCAGACCCAGGCAACTAGGGGCTCCCCACCCACTCCCCTGTCCTTGGAATGTGTGATCTGTTTGCCTTCCCCACTCTCAGAAGCTGCCGCAAGGATCCAGCCTTGAGATAGAAATGTGGGGTGAAGACTGTCTGGACCATATAAGTGACTGAACGCACTTAAGGCTTCTATATAAAAGTTTGATTCTGGCGGGCAGGTGGGAAAACTGTTCTTCTTGTGGCCGCCCAAGACAAGCCTTGTAAGTAAGTTCCCTTGCTTATTTAACCAGCCACCCACCAACCTGAGTGGTCTGACTCA